AAGATCTGTCTTGAAGTACAATGCTGTCTGTGATAGGATAATATTCACATACCTACAAGGAAGACCAGTTAATATAATACCACTATTACCCAAATTTATGCATCAACCACTAAAGCAAATGATGATGAAATTGGAGAATTCTACCAACTTCCTCTGTCTGAAATTGCTCAAACATGTAATCAAGGTGTATTGATAATTACTGGCTATTGGAACACAAAGATCTGAAACAAAGAGGAAGGATCAGTAGTTGGAAAATATGACCTTCGTGATAGAAATGATGCTGGAGATTGCATGATAGAATTTTTCAAGACCAATGACTTCTTCATTACAAATGCCTTTCTTAAACAATATGGACGAAGACTCTATACATGGACTGCAGCAGATGGAATACACAGAAATCAAATTGACTATATCTATGTGAAAAGATGGTAGAGAAACTATATCATCATCTAAAATAAGGCCAGGGACAGACTGTGGGAAAAATCATCAATTGTTCATATGTCAGTTCAGGCTGAAGTTGAAGAGAATTAAAACAAGTTCACAAGAGCCAAAATATGACTGTGACATATCTCACTTGCATTTAGAGGTCATCTGTAGAGCAGATTTCATGCATTAGACACTAAAGACTAAAGACTAGAAGAGTTGTTCATGAAATCAAGAACATCATACAGGAATAAAACAAAAGGTCATTAAGAAGACAAGAAAGAAGGAAAAGAGCAAAATGGATATAGAAAAAACTTGGAAACTTCTTCAGCATAGAAATGCTAAAACAAATGGAATAAATTTGGAGATAAAAGAACTGAACAGAAAATTTCAACTTGAGACGACAAAGTTAAATATTATAATGAAATGTACAAAGATCTGAAGTTAGAAAACCAAAAGGAAAGAATACCCTCAGCATTTCTCAAGCTCAGGGAAATGAAGAAAAAATTCAAGCCTCAACTTTCAATATTGAAGGATTCTAAGGACTCCTGGTTTGGTGCTGTAGGATCAGCAGTGGACTGTGAACCACACATTTGACAGTTCAAACCCACCAGCTGCTCCTCAGAATCTCTGTACAGGTTCACTATGAGTCAGAATCGACTTGACAGCACTTAACAACAGCAACAAGGGCAAAATATTGAATGATGTAAAAAGTATCAAAAAAAGAAGATGGAAGGAATACAGAGTCAGTCTTACTGAAAAGAAAGGATTAATGATCCACCGTTTCAAGAGGTAGTATGATTAAAAGCTAATGATACTGAAGGAAGCAGTCCAAGGTGCACTGAAGGCTTTGGCAAAGAATAAGGCACCGGGAATTGATGGAATACAAATTGAAAATTTTCAACAAACTGATATAGCACTGGAGGCACTCGCTCATCTATGCCAAGAAATTTGGAAGACAACTTCCTGGCCAACTAACTGGAAGAGATCCATATTTGTGCCCATTCCAATGAGAGGTGACCCAACAGAAGCATAAATCATCAGACAATATCAGTAATATCCCATATAAGTAAAATCTTGCTAAAGATAATAAAAAAAAAACAGCTGCAACTGTACATTGACAGAGAATTTCCAGAGGTTCAAGCTGGAATTCAAAGAGTATGTGGAATGAGAGTATATTATTGCCAATGTCAGATGGATCTTGGCTGAAAGCAGAGAATACCAAAAAGATGTTTACTTGAACATCTTAAAGAACTCTTGTGCAGCAGATTTGCCTAATGCAATACATCATTCGATTTCTTGACTGCTGCTTCCATGAGTGTTGATGGTTGATCTGAGCAAAATGAAGTCTTTAAGAACTGTTAGTTATTGGTCTAGTGGTAAGGATTTTTGTTTTCTTTACATATTGAAGTGCAACCCATGCCGAAGGGTGTGGTCTTTGATCTTCATCAGTAACTATTTTAAGACCTTTTTACTTACAGCAAGTAAGGTTGTATCATCAGCATATCACAGGTTGTTAGTGAGTCTTCCTCCAATCTTGATGCCACAATTTTCTTCATATAATCCATCTTCTTGGATTATGTGCTCAGCATACAGATTGAATAAATATAGGTTACATCTCAGTGTAAACAAAACAAAAATCTGCTGTACAAAACTTCTTTAAAATGTTCAACATCAAAGATGTCAGTTTGAGGAATAAGTTGCACCTGATGCAAGCCATGGTATTTTCAATAACCTCATATGCATATGAAAGTTGGAAGATCATAGAAGAGTATATGAATTGATATATTTGAGTTATGGTGTGCCATGGACTGCCAAATGAACAAACCAATCTGTGTGGTAAGAAGTACAGTCAGAGTGCTTGTTGGAAGCCAGGATGGCCAAACTTCATCTCTCATACATATCATCAGGAGGGACCAGTCCCTGGAGAAGGTTATCTTGTTTGGTAAAGCGGAGGGTTACAGAAAAAGAAGACTAGCCCAATGAGATAGGTTAACACAATGGCAGCAGTACTGGGCTCAGGCTTAGCTACAATTGTGAGGTTGGTAAGAGTACAGGCAGTATTTCATTCTGTTGTGCATAGGGTTGTTATGAGTCAATGTCAGCTCGATTGAACCTAACAACAACAAGCATGCAAACCTAGAATTGCAAGATTGATGGTTTTTCTTATTGTCAAGCCTGCTGAAAGCCAAATTTATGAACTTTGTTTCTAATGAATGAGGTAAAATTTTAATAGATTAAAAAAATCCCAAACTACATAAATACCAAAATCTAATAATAAGCCCCAGTGTAGTAGATTAAGGATGGGTATTGAGAAAAATATGAGAAGAACCAAGGAATCCTTTTGTGGATGCCAAAGGAAGGTATTCCAAGAAGGAAGTATCAAAAAGAGTCAATCACCAGAATGTTAGTGAAAATAATGATAGAAACAAGGCTGTTAAATTGATCATTTAAGAGACCATCTGTGACATTGGTGAAAGTTGTTCTCTAATGTGTGGTTAGAGGTGAAACTTTGTAGTGATCAAAGGTGAAATACAGACCTTTCTGTAGAGACATAGAAGCACAGGCTTTAAAAAGAATTGACAGAGTAGTAAGCTAAAGGGAGAAGAGTCTGTGGTTTGAAGGCAAAGCAAATCTGTAGGAATTATTTTAAAGGATTGGGAATACTTAAGCCAAATTTAGTTTAATTATTCTTTGAATTCAGCTGCCATACTGTGAGACAGTCCAAGCAGCTTTGTTGAGAGGCTTTTTTAGGAAGGAAGTGAGATTCCCAGCCAATAGCTATTTGCCATCCATATACGTGTCTGTCTTGGTAATGGATCTTCAGTAACATTTGTGTACTCCAGTTGACAAACATTATGCCTTATCTATGTATAAATTTCAAATGTATGGGCAAAATAAATGATTTCTATTTTAAGTCACTATATTTAGAGGGGGTTTGTAATGTAGCAATAGGTAACTAGCTGTAGTATGAAATTAACATTTATTCATTGGTAATCATTTAAGCCCAATTCAATGAGCATTCTTGGCTCTGCTGTCATGCCCATATACTATATATAGTACTGAAAAATCTTGAATCCTGAAAAATTGCTTACTAATTGTATAGAGTTTATGAGAAAAATAAAGTTGAGTTGGACCACTCAAAACCTGTAGAATTTTGAAATGAGAATCCAAACTAAAACAATAGCAATCTTACTAAAAATACCAGTCACAACAAATATCCACTGACATTTGCACTTAGAATCACAGTGCATATTTATCAAACTCACATTCAGGGGCTTGTGTGTCCCTAAAAACTTCTACATTTGTAGCATTCCCAGAGAACTCTATTAAATAGAAAGTATAGGGATTCTTGGAGCCACAAAATCACCTACTTTTTGCACAAATGGAAGGCTCTTCTATAGGAGTTTTAGTAAATATATTTTTTGAAGGTCTTCATATATTTGTAAACTTTCTCTTAAACTGTGAGCAAATTTGACCGTATTATCTCAATTTTCCTGGAAATTTAAAAAGGAACCAAACGGACTTCAGAGTTAACAGAGAGTCTTCCTTTTTTATTGATTTTACATAAGCTAATTTGTATTAAAGAAATGCATTGTAACAGAATATATAATATCAACAGTCAATCTATACACAATGCCTTTCTTTTCATATATGTTTTAAAGGAATACATATATTAACTGCAAAAGCCCAAGTCATCTGTTGTCATAACTGCATGTATTGTACTTGGGTTTTATGACCTATTTTGTCCTGTCAAATTCTCAGTTTCAAAGCCAAGAAAAGATTTCTGTTCTGTATGGGCAGCAGTTGGTGCTACTTGATTGCAGTTGCCTTCACCAAATCCAAGGAAAGGGCTGTTAGTGCTCTGTGGGACTAGAGACTTAGAATTTATAAGGTAGGACTTTGAGTGTGTCCTCTTCTTCAGAGGAGATCGTGGTGCCATACACTGTTCATTGTACGTTTTTACTTAAGCAAACTTTTGCTACATCAGGAATAACTTTGTCACTGGTCTTGGTGGCAGTGTCATAGATGAATTTCTCAAGGAGGAGGGTGAAATCTAACATGGACTTTGTGAACAGAAACTTACCTGGTAAACCAGGCTCTGATTTGTCAGTTGTCAGATCAAGAGAAAGTTCTAGACTCAAAGCAGTGTCCTGAGAATGAATTTAGAAGACACATGTTTAGAAGGGACACTTCACAACTATATTCTGTATTTTTTTTAATCATTTAAATTAAAGCAAATCATTTTATAGTTTGTTTGACTTTACTGTGGAGAAAGATTCTGACATATTAACATGTTTTGAAATGAGAAGATGGCACACAAAATGATCTATTGACTTCTTGGTTAAGCAAATCTGCGTGAGTAGAGGTAACAAAACTAAAGAACTTTGGACCATGTCAATTATTTTTGGGTTTCTGAACTTCTTCACTATGAAGGGGACTCAAGTTTGGTCAGCACTTTTATTTATCAGCATCTCAAAGATAACTTCTGGCAAAAATTAAATGAATACAATTTTAAATGAAATAAAAAACTCACTGCCATGGAGTTGATTTTGACTCATAGAGACTCTATGAGTGTTTTTGATACTCTAAGTCTTTATGGGAGCAGAACGACTCCACTGTTTCTCTTCGAGAGGCTGGTGGGTTCAAACTGCTGACCTTGCAGGTAGCCATCCAACACATAACCCGGTATTCCTCCAGGGCTTTTCTTAAATGAAATGTAAAAATTCATTATTGAATTTACTGTTTTTATTTTCTAGAACATTAATTTGTACTTATAAACCCCCACAAATAAATATTTAGATAAATCTTAAAACTTAAAAACAAATTTATAAAATGTCTATTCATAATATATTCTGCTGTAATTATTCTTTTTTCAGTTCTTGAAAATGTGTTTGCTTTACCCAAAGCAGAAAATCCCAACTCTAATTGAAACAAAGATCTAACTAAATTGAGGGAAGCTGTGAACTTTAGGATGTTTGAAATGGAGATTTTAGTATATTTCATTAATGCAAATTCTGCAAATAGGTTAGCCAAGTATTGTTTGTAAAAATCAGAAAATAATCATAATTAACATTGCAAAAAAGAATTTTGCCCTGTTCTCCCTTCAGCTAATTTTTTTTTTTTTTGGTGGGGGTGGGGGGTAGGGTAGGGAAGAAAGCTGAGCAGAGGGTGAGGCCCACAGCCTCAATAGCAGTGGAGGCAGCCCCCTCCCAGGCCCAGCTTCTCTTTTTCAGTGTGACAGCAGCAGGCAGGTCGATCAGAAGTCCAGGGCAGCAACCAAGGCTGTTCTTGGAGCAGCAGCAGCAGGCAGGGGATTTAGGAGTGTTAGTTCAGCTGGCTGACAGCCATTCCTCCATGGATGGTGCTTGGCGAGGGCCGGGAATTCCTGAACTGGGAGGTGGGCACCTGCGATGGCTCAGTAGGCTCTGAAGATACTGCTGGAAATGTCATACACGAGCCACTCGATACCTAGATGCACCAATGGTTGCTGCGGTTGGAGTCCAGCTCCAGGGCCTCTCGAATGGTGTTAGAGGACAAGGCCCCAGGCAGGTCCTGCTTCTTGGCAAAGATGAGGAAGATAGCTGCATGCAGGCGCTCTTCCACCAGCAGGCTCTGGAGCTCACGCAGGCCGTCCTGCATGCCCTGGCGGTCAGCGCTGTCCACTATCCAGATGCAGCTGTAGGTACTCTCAAAGTAGTTCTGCCAGTAGGACCTAAGGGATTTCTGGCCGTCCACATCGTGGCGCTGTGGGCTAATGCCTCAGACTGCAAAGTCGTTTGAACTGCAAGGTCTGTGGGGCAAGCTCACCAGCTGCTCCTTGGAAACAGGGTCTCTTTGGATTCTAATGTACTTGACGACACTTAATAACAATATCCCACATGTTCAGCTTGAATCTGCCGTGCTTTAGGGTCTTGATGTTGAAGCCCAGTGTCGGGGAGATGGTGTAGATGCCTTCCCCATTGAACTTCTTGAGGATGGTAGTTTTGCCAGCGTTGTCCAGACCGAGCATAAGCATTCACAGCTTTCTCTCTTTCTTTTTCATATTCTTCAGAATAGTCAGAAGCCCCATGGTCCCAGTAGCCCCTTCCTGGCTGCCGTTTCTTTCTAGAGCTGATTTTTGGTAGAAGGTTTTGAAGTTTTTCGGTAATTGAAGACCAAAAAAGACACACAATTTGCTTCTATGATATCAGCAAGAGGTGTAGGCAGTGCTGGCTGGCAGTCTGAATCAGAACTTGGCATTGACTCAACAATTTCTGTGGGTGAAAAGCCACAAGGTTTGGATTTTTCTTTCTGTTTTTCTTTCTTTGGTGATAGGGACAGTGAAACATTCATATTTAACAATGTGACAATAACCAGTTCTTGAAGAAGATTGTTGTTGTTGTGTGCCATCTAGTTGATTGTGACTTATAGGATAGGGTTTTCAAAGTTGTACTCTTACGGGAGAAGACCTGGTGTGGTGCTCTACAACAAGAACTGAATTGCTAACCAAAAGGTAAGCAATTCAAACCCACAAGCTGTTCCTTGGGAACCCTATGCAAGGTCACTATGAGTCAGAATCAACCCAATGGCACTTAACAACAATCTTAGGGTGGGGAGTGTGGTGGCTCTATAAGTTAAGCATTGGACTGTGAACCACAAGGTTGGCTGGTTTGAGCCTACCAGCTGCTCCTTAGGGGGAAACATGAGACTTTCTACTCCTGCAAAAATTCACACCCTTGGAAACTGTATACAGGGTTTCTGTTGTTAGGGTCCGAGACCACCACCCAATAAGGAGACCAAGAGACAAAGATAATGCAAAAGCAGGCGGGCTTTATTCAAGCTAGCATGCTAGGGTCGAGTGGCGGCTGGCAGTGTAGTGTTCAGCGGTGTTACAGCAGTGTTACAGCAGTGTTACAGCATCAGCTCACCAAAGCTCGACCCCAAGCAGTTCACAAACCGCACCTTACATAGGGTTATGGGACACACCATGGGAGGGAGATATGCAAACTAGGATTACAACTTTTACCCAATGGAGCATTCAGAAACCGCAGGATCCAATAGATTTAAACATAACATCACATAAGTGACCTATAGTACTAAGACTTTTCCCAGTCCTGCCGCCCTCATCTTATCTGTTATCTGTTCCTGCCACCTGGCCTGTGAGTCTTCAACTGTGACAGTTTTACGAGTGTGCTCTTTACCCTGCATTTGTGTCTCTTCAGATATTCTGTTGGGGACTTGCCTAGCCATGCCTGGTTGTTCTTATGGCCCCGGCCTGAAGCAGGTCTCAGAGCAAGCTCTTATGCCTGAAGTGGCGATTCTTGCTCTGAGCCCTACTTTCAGCTGTCCACTTTCATTCTCACACTGTGAGTCGGAAAGGTCTCTAAGACACTTAATAACAACATTTATAGAAGAGGACTGCCACATCTTTCTTCTGAACTGCTGACATTTCAGTTAGCAGCTGAGTGCTTTAATCACTGCAACATCAGGGATCCTTTCTTATAGAATAGTATAAGGCTATTATAATAATAAAAGATGATCATAATTTGAGCATACCATCTGCTTCTTGTTGGGATCTGACTGAAACAGATGAGGAATTCTGCTTGGATTGTTGCAGGGGAGCCAAATTCTCTATGTATTCTTCTTTCCACTTGGGTTCCAATGAATGACCATACTTGACCTGGACTGAATGGAAGTCCTTGGTGTTCTTCTAGTACTACTCTTGGTGTGAAGTTGTCACTCATCAAATGAGACACAAGAGGGAGTGAGGAAAGACAGAAATGTATATGTACATGATGTGTCTTTATAATAATGACCAACTACAAGCTCCAAGTTAAAATGACAGTGATAATGAGGCATTCATATTTCCTAGTCTGGCTACCAGAATGAAGATAAACCCAGAACTATGAAATTACCAACTGACCATCAATGAACTGAATTGTCCAAGGATTGGTCATCTTTGAGTGCTCTGCTGATTAGCTTTTTGAGGTCTGTAGCTGGGAGATCAATTTCTGGCTGCTTGGTCTCCATGATTCCATGACTTATAATTTGGTTGAAATCAAAAGCAGGAGATCACCTGTAGACTTCTTTGCTTCTGTGTTGTCTCTCTTGAAGATGGCCACAGGTTGCACCTTTCAAAAGCTTGAACTGTAGACAGCAAAGGACACATTCTACCCAAAGTCATTGTTTACATATCTAAAAAGGAGACTTGTTACTACAAAATTTCAGGACATCTTCATCCCCTTTCCTTTTGGGTTCTTAAAGAATGTCCCACTTCAGAACAAATTTCAATGTTTATCAGAAATTTAAATTGTAGGAAAATAATTAACATATATTTTAAATGCCTAAATTGAAACTGACACGTAAATCCAGCTTAAAGAGGAATTCTTAACAGAATCAACTGATCATAGGTTTATTATTTAGGTCTTTATGGGAAAGTGTTAATTGTCAAGAATTGCTTTAAGACTTTGTAAGACCACTAAAAACACTAATAGTGGCCAGAGTTTTTGGTGGTCTTATTGGTAAAGACAATCAACATGAAGGATGAATTGTACCTTCTTTTAGAAATAGACATCTTCAGGAAGGTTTATGAAATAGCAATATATGATATAGCAGTGAGAATACTATTAACATGTTGTAAGCAACTCAAAAAATTCAGGTCTTAGGGTAATTTCTGTATTACCTTTCCCCAAGAAATATTTTTTAGTTGAAAAATAAAACTCAATGTGAAGTATAATTCTTTTCCCCTCAAGCTACTTTTGAGATAACATATTAGAAGACAGAGAAATGGAATACAACATGATTAACTATATATTTAGTATTATATTTATTCGTTCAATGCCTTTTTGCATATAAAAATGAAACAGAATTCTTTGTAGCTCTAGGATCAGGTTTTACCTTTTAGTTCACATCATAAGTCCATGTAAAAGGATGTTTCAGAGGCCACAGAATCTGATAATATATATTTTTGGAACTTCTTTATGCTACAATTTGTCTGATGATTAGTTCAGTATTTCACTAGTCAATTACAGGAGACAAAACTTGGCTATTATTACTGATCTCTCTATAGTGGGTCATTTCACAATTCAGTCTGACCAAGGAGCAAATTCGTTGCCCTGCTTTATTTCCAGACTTGGTTCATGTATGTATGTACATTCAGACAACTTCCCATCACAAATAACATCTGAGAAATAGTTAAATCATGCTTGCATCACAGATATCTACTTTTCTAATAAAATCTTGAATTTTATAGAATCCTTTTTAGCTGGATAATCAATATTTACCTGCTTAACTTACACAGTGATTTTACTAGAGTTTTTTCCCCCACTACTATTGGAGTCCTATGTGGCACTGTGGGATAAACCACTGGACTGCAAGGTCAGTTTGAACCACAACGTTGGTGGTTCAAACTCACTAGTCACTCCTTCAAACCCTATACAGGGTCACTATGAGTTGGAGCCAACTCAAAGGCACTTAACAACAACAACAAACAACATTACTGAATACTTGATTAACCACTCCCATTTAAGTAAGAAATCACTGAAAGGTCATAGGCTTATACTCGACATTATATATAAAAAGTACTTATGCTAGGTTAGCACATAGAGATTTGTGAAAGAAAATATACTATATTTCTAAACATAAAATAAATCCAAGTTACCCATCTCTTTCTCCTTTGATCTTCTTTTCATCATTAATAATGTAATCATGCAGAAGAGAAAAAAGTTTTATGAAATTGATCAAGCTATTGATCATTGCATATTAAGAAAATGGTACTTTCTCCTCTTTCAAGTTGTTATTGTTATTAGGTATTGTTGAATACATTCCAATTTATAGTGACCCTATGCACAACAGAACAAAATACTACCTGATTGCTTTCAGTCTTTCATTTTTGCCCATAACTCTGACAGAAACACACAAATTACCACAATAATCTGGATAAAAGTTCTGAGAATCATCTGACTCTCAGTAAATAAACCTAATTATATTGTTTCTGATTAGTTCAAAGATCATATGCATGTTTGACTTTACTATTAAACTCCTTGATTTCTTCATTTTTTTCCTAAGAGACTGCAGATATGTCCTACATAGGTTACATTTTGGGTGGTGTTGGTGCTAGGAAGTGTTTCAAAAGCATTTTGTAAATGGATTCTCACCCCCTGAAAGGCATTAAATGAGTACAGCAAGCCCTGGGGTTAAGGACATCCATTTTATAGACAACTAATACTTAAGACTCCAACTCATAGGGAACAGTCTTGTGCTGATCTTTCTAAATGAAATTATTCATGCAGCGTCCATAAACATGACACTTTAGAATTTAAACTCTAATACAACTGCCACATCTCCTCTGACATATAGTGACTTCACTAAACAAGAAAAAAAAGTATATTGTATTTGGTCTAATATTGGGATGTGAGCTCTGATGGTGTAGTGGGTTACACATTGCCCACAAGGTCACTCCACAGGAGAAAGACGAGGTTTTCTGCTCCTACAGAGATATACTGTCTTGGAAACCTTGTATAGATTATGAGTCAGAATTGACTTAATGGCATACAACCACAGTGCTTAAGATTGGTATGCTGTAGGATAAGCACTGAACTGCTAGTGGAAAGGTCAGAAGTTATAACCCACCAGTCGCCCCTTGAAACCCCTAAACAGGGTCACTATGATTTGGAACTGACTGGACTGCACTTAACAATAACCGTACTTAAGAGGAGTTCTGGTGAGGTACTGTAGGAAAAACACCGAAATGGAAGGGTAAGGTTGGTTGTTCAAACCCACCAGTCACTCCTCAGAAACTCTATACAGGGTTGCTATGAGTCAGAGCCAACTTTGTTATTGTTATGTGCCGTGGAGTCAGTTCCGACTCATAGCGACCCTGTACAGAGTTTCCGAGGCTGTAAATCTTTATAGGAGCAGAAATCCTCATCTTTCTCCTGTGGAACAACTGGTAGTTTCGAAATGCTAACCCTGAGTTTAGCAGCCTGATTCGTAACTACTATGCTACCAGAGCCAACTGGAGGGTACTTAATGAACAACACCAAGTACTTAAGAATGGACTGCCAGAAAGCCTGTAATATTAAATATTTGAGTTAAGACTTGAATGTGCATCACCTTTTGTGTCAGCCATGAAAACATGGAGTAGCTTCAGCAGTTGGTTGGTGGGAGCAAGGAAGGAGAATGACTCCACCTTTTGATGTTGGCTCAGGTTGCTGTTAACACTGTGTTGGTTGTGTAACTTAGTATATGGCTTACATTTTCCTTTTATTTACCCTTGTAACTAGGCCTCCAAAGTGTAAATCCAGTGCAAGTGCTGGTGATGCATCAAAGAAAGAGAAAACAATCACGACAGAAACAAAAGTGAGAAAACAGAGTGATTGGAAAGAGGTGAAACATCATCAGTTACTGGAAAAGTGTCAGGCTACAGTTGGTTAATGGTGAACAGTGGGACTCATTTTAAAGAATAAAGTGAGGACCATGAAGCATGTGAAGAGCTCTGCCCTGAAGAAAGCTACAATTATTCCTAAGCAAAGCAGTGCTTTAACTATTGAAATGGAAAGGCTATCGATAATTTGGTAAGATGATCAGAATCAGCATGATAAGACTATTAGCCGTACTTTTGTGCAAGAAAAGGCTCAGAGCCTTCCAGCAATATAAAAGCTGCAGGTGCAGCAAGTGAAGGTGATTGTGATGAAGAATTTGTGGTGAGAAGGAGATGGTTTAATTGTTTCTAAGTGAGCACAAATTTACATACTGTTACAGCGCAAGGTGAAGCAGTGCGTGCCAATGTAAGTGCTGAGAGTGATTGTCATGAAATGTGGACAAAAATGATTGAAGTTATTTATCTTCCAGACTGACTTATTTTTTGGGGAAAAGTTTGACTTCAAGACAGATGTAGGAACTGGTCTTGTGGTTTATTCCTGAAACGAATTTGTCCATCTAGGTCAGATGGTGTTTGGTCGATGGATTATTTTTCAAATTGTTTCAATCTGCAAATTTGAGGGACTTTCCAATTAACCAAAAAATTCATTGTAAGAAAGCCAAGTACCATTTACTGAGAGAACTGCTCTAGGCAGTTTACATGTGTTATTTTTCTCATTTAATCTTTTCCTCAACATAATCTCCATTTTATAGGTAATGGAGGCATATGGAGGAAAGGTGTCAGCTGAGAAATCAAAGAGCCAGGATTCAAACCCTGACCTGGCTGAATTCAAAGCCTTATGTAGTTTTACTGTGCCATTTGCTCAGCTTTGACAAATAAACAAACAAATAAAATAAAGCTATGAATTTTGTTTAGAAACTATAATCACTTTCTCACTCTATATTTCAAATGATAGTTGCCAACAGACTCTCTACATATATGAAAGGATTGGCATTCTTGCTCCTCCATCTGGATTATGAATCCATCATCTTCAGGTATAATTCAAGGGAAATGAACTCAGCTACAACACACTTCTGTTATAGAGCAGTCCTAGTTAAGTAGTCACTGATTCTCCCTGGTTTTCAGAGGGATCCTCAGGACCACCTTTCATATGGTACTAGTGGATGG